GCTGAGCCCTAGATCCATGCCACAGAAAACAGTTTAAAAAGATGTCTTTCCCACATGATGGACAGAAAACAAGTCTGATTGTGATGACATCATCAGTCAATACAAAAAAGTTTGAGGAGGAGGCTGCTGGAAATATTGCTTTCAAGTATTTCAGCAAGCATAAAGACTGCCTGGACATTTTATTCTACTCTTTGCTCTTTTTGTTCTACTCAGCAAAGGATATCAAAAACTAGAAAGTTGTTCACAGATTGCTGGTGCTCTCTCATGGACAGGCCTCAAGTGGAGAGAAGTTTGTCAGTCAATAATGAAATTTCCACTGACAATATGAAACTGTAAACTCTGATTGCACAGTGCATTATCACACACTATTTGGCCACTGTCAGAAGTGCTGGTAATATTCCCCATGACTGAGGTTCTTCTCTGCAGTTCTTCCAATGCTAAAACAACATACAACCAATACCTTGAAGCTGAGAAGAAAAAAAGGCAGAAAGAAGCAGCTGGAGAAAAACAGAAATCCATGCTTATGAAAATTAAAGAACTGAAGACCGAAAAGCACAAGCTTGAAAGTTGCACACAAGATGTGCTCAAGTCAGTTGGCAGCCATAAAGAGAAAGCTGAGCAGTTTAAGAATTTGAAAACACTTATCACAAAGTCCAATGCCATGTGAAGATCTGCAAAGGACAAGTCCATAGAGATATCAAAACTGGAAGAGGAGATGAATGCTCAACTAGATCAACTGAAAAAATATTGTGTTCTATGCCATTCACAACAAAAGCTGTGAGTAGTAGGGGTAGCTAAAATGTATAGTCTTTTTGTAAAAGTTTCTATTTATAGTTCTGTTCATTAAAGCCATTATACTTCACAGGAAATGTGCAGCAGTCAAGAATTTTTGTGACATTCACAAGCCACAAGTAGTCTAGATAGCTGAAGTATGTAGCAGTAAGAATTAAAGTGTGTAATTCAAAATTTTATTGGAACAAGCTGTAACTTTTCTTTGAACATCTCATCTGTCAAACTATTAAGAGAAATCACTGTGTGTGGCAGTTTTTTTTTTTTATTTTTTAAATTGATGAGCATTCACTTTTTTATACAGATCAGTGGCGACCTTGGGTTTTAGTTATATTCAGGCTTATAATATCACAAAAAGCTTCTAGGCAAATAAAAGTATTTATTTTTCTTTATAATTCCAAAATAATTTGATTCATACAAAAAACTTGTTTGCAGTTTATTCTGGGAATGGCAATGTCTTGTAAAATTACAGCTATTTTCTGAGTGATTAATGTCTCTCACTCTGGGCTTAAACTATAAAAAAAAAAAAAGGTTTTTGGATCAAAGAAATTGGTAATTTTGTAACTAAATCAATCTTTTCAAAAGTGTGAAATTTATAGCAAAATAAATTTAACTTTTTGATAATTTGACACACACACACATCTATCTCATGGGTGAGTCTAGGTCATCAATGTTTGTCAAGCTCATTACAATCATTAACAAAATATGCTATTAATATAAAGCTTAAATGATTCCTTTAACTGAAATAGATCATTTTTAAAAAATCTCTGTGCATGAAATTAAAAAAAAAAACGTGTTTGTATTTTAATATTAATTGTAACAATTCTATAAAAAATAAACATTTATTTTAAAAAGTTTTCAGACCTGTAAGAAAAAGAGTGAAAGCAAAGCCAGATGTTTGCTTTTTAAAAATAGTGTGTGTAATATATATATATATATATATATATATATATATATATTATTTATATACATGTTTTATTTGTTTATGCATTAGTGTGTTTATGTATTTGTGAATTTTATTGTATGTTTATGATCAGTGCTACTGACTGATATATTTCCTCAGCACTACCCCAGTCGCACTCCTTACCCCAACCATCCATTTGATGAGTTAAGACTGCCATTTTATTTGATTTTTGCTGCATTTAAGGTCTGGCTAAATTTAATTTGCCCTTTCTCAACAAATATGTTCTGCTAAAAAACTTTATACTGTATAGAATATATTATTTAACCTTTATCATTCTGGAGACAAATGTCATTGGAGAATTCTCTCCCTTTGCACACTGTAGGCACATTTTGTCGCCTAGAATTGCTATAAATAAGCACTTGTCAACTTATTTTAATCTGGAAATAGCCTACTACTGCTTTGGAATGAGGCTAAACTTTGTTTTCCAACAACATTTTGAATTTGTCTACATTCTACATGAAGTGTAACATTGATTAAATCCTCTTTAAATTCTTCACAATTTTTTTTATAAACAAAAGTAGCTGCATTAGTTTCTAATGAAACCTTTATTGAGATGTTTTTCTTTGATTTGGACTCTGATGATAATTTTGAAGTCTTTACTCAAGTGAATATTGATGGTGAAGTGGTCGAAGTTTAATCATGTGGAGGAAAGAGATGATGACCACTAGTTGCCAAGCAGCTGCTATCATCCCTTGCTGACTAATTTTATAGAGGTTACTGGCTATGTGGATGTACCTGAGAGTGTTTCTGAAGCTGAATTATTTTGTCAATTTATAAACAACAAATTAACTTTGTCAATTTATAAACAACAAATTAACTTTGTCAATGAGACAAATATGCTAGTCAGGTGGAAGAAAGTAAACAAATGCTAGTGTCTACATAAAAATGTGGAAGGACATCACTTTTGACAAAATGAAAGCCTTCTTTGCTGTTTTGCTTCTTGCACCCCCGCCAAACTCCACAAGGGATATTAAACGTTAAAGTACGCTAAATTAATTTATTTTTTGTTTTCAACATCAAAATATGCATGCAAAACATAATGCATCTCATCAAAATATTACTCATCCATTCTTTCATTATACAGAAAATGAAATCTATACACATGATACAGTTGCAACAATTTTTGAAGGAATTTAGTAGGGTAATGGTTAAAATGGACATTTGAAATAAATAGGTTTAATTAAAAGATGTTTGAAAAACAGGGCATACAAGTGATTGTAGATTTTTAAAAGATTGTTTATAAAATTAAAGCAAGAAATACATCACCCATTAAGTACAACTCCAGCTTTTATCAGGCTAAAACCTACTCAGCTTGACAGTTTTGCTGTCCCTCTCTCTTTTGCTGTTCTGGGTATGACGATAAACTATGTCCAACAGCAAGGCCTCTGATAATACGTTTTTGAAATAATAATATTGCCCGCTTTACATTTTCGACGAAAAAGATATTAACATAAATAGATTTTTGACAAAACAAAAATATTACCAAGAAAAAAAAGATTGTCGTCATTAAATTACCCATTGAGGTTGATATGCTGTAAAACAAACCAAAGCCTCTCTTTTTGTTTTCTGATAAACCATTTAAATAAGTTGTTTCATATGATAATGATGTCTCTTTACTGTGGACTTAACCATCTTGTATCAACTTCGTGTTAATTTTAAGAAAATATTAAAAATTTAAGCATTTCTTATGAAAATCTTAGTTTAACAGATTTCTTGATTCAGTAACGTATTATTGAATAAAAATCAGTTTTCTATGGAGGAAACTGTTTATTGATATTACTTTTAGACAGTGTTATTTAGAGAACATTAAGCTAATATCACTCAGCTCATTTATATAAACATTGGGCAATTTACAAACAACTTTCCATTATTAAAAAAAAAAAAAAAAATGGTCAAAACTTTGATTCTATGTGGATAATTTCTTTTTTGTTTTAAAGAAAATATTTGGGATTGACTCATTCCATTAATATTATCTGATTATAATAAATATGTTCCTGTGAGTTTTGTGAAAATTTATGAAAATACATTGATATTTTTTTAAGTAAACTGTATGTGTTATTTTGCTATTACCATACACTGAAGATGAAAATATGTGTACCATGTGATGGTTCTTCCCTCCCTCTTATTTTCTTTTTATTTTTTATTTTATTGGTGTGAGTTATGGACCATCTACAGACTCCACATTAAGGCACTGGAAAGATTCAACCAAAGATACCTTAGAAAAATCATTTTCTCAAATCCCTGAAGGAACCCAATGCAAACCTCTCCTACACTACAAGGACACTGCAAGTTGCCTCTCAACACATGGGAATCAACAGCATTCCATAGGAAACATTGATGTAGTTCAATCCATGCTGGTAGATAAAGCAACCTGGAAACATGGTGCTTCCTCAACCTCCCAAATAGCATGCCCCATCTGTACTTTGTACTTCATATTTTGAGCTTAGAGCTTATGCTAGGTTGGGTCTTCATCGATACTCAGACACTATAGTTAATGGTGTAAATTATAAAAAGCTTAATTTCTAAAATCTGACTAAACTTTTTTTTTTTTTCCTTTCTTTCTTGGTCAGGTTGAGAAGTTTTCACTCTATCTCCAGCCTTCATATGAATGATTAATATAATTTATAATCATGGTAATTGATAATGCAAGGCATTTCATTATTGTTAAATGAATTATCAAATTACTTAAATGTTGACAACGTTTTGAAATTTGACGTTTTTGTAGTTATTGATCTATCGTATTGCATTACTTTATTTTTACTTGATCAAAGCAGCTTAGGAGATATGTTATATTTTCTCTTTAGTGATGGTTGAAATCACCACAAAGGATTCTTGCTTGTTTATTGCAGTTTTCTTAGTTTGCAACATTGTCACAACTTTATCATGGATTATAATGATATCTCTTAATTTGCTTGTGCAAAAATATTTTATCATTAAAAATGTAATATATTGTGTTCTATGAATAATGGGTGATGTTGTATGGTCACTGTACAGCTGAGCATTTGACCAGCTCTCTCCATATATATTGATTGTGTACCAGACCATTCAGTAATGTTTGTTTTTTTTTTTTTTTTTTTTTTTTTTTTTTTATCCTTGTCTGCCTCCTCTCTTTTTTTTCCTCTCTCACTTAAATTTTCATTATGGCTCAATTTTACTAATGGCTTTCCAAGAATTGTGTTTAGCATGAAAACTTGCTTTATTTGTCTAGCTATTATTGTTTGTACACTATCATCTTTGTTCTCTTTAGGGACGAGAGGCCACCCCAGCTCTCAATCCCTGGTGATTACCTATCTTCGAAGAACAGATGGATCCCACCTAGCACACTCAAGCGAGATGTCAATGCAAGTGACGACAGAAATGATCTGGTACTCCGAACAGTCAGAGGGTAGGTGTATGTTACTAATGAATGCCTTCAGCACATACTTTTTTTTTTTTTTTTTTTTTTTTTTTTAATGTGCATACATTTTTTTTATTTTTTAACTTTATTTAGATACTAATTAATCTGACCTGTTTTGCACAAGCCTAAATTCTTTATTTTGTGACTCTTTCTGGCTGCACTTTCTGAAATGTATGGAGGTTTTTTTTGTTTTGTTTTGTTTTTGTTTTCCACCAGATGGAATCCACCCAGTTGTAAACAACGAGACGGTCTTTCAACTGAAGAGAAAAATGATCTGATATTCCGTAAGGCCAGAGGGTAAGGATTGTTTTAATTTTGTGCAAGACATTCTTTTAAGCAATTTATAAATTTGCTATTTAACTTAATCTATATTTAAATTGGTGCAATTATTAATTTATTTTTCTCTCTCTCTCTCTCTCTTTCTAGAATTCTCAATAAACTGACCCCGGAGAAGTTTGATAAGTTGAGTTTGGAGCTTCTAAATGTTGGTATTGACTCCCAGCTCATACTTAAGGGAATAATACTTCTGGTGAGGACTGCATTTTTATTCATTTTTTTTTTTTTTTTTTTTTTTTTTTTTTTTAATGGTAATATTTAAAGAGATAGCAAAATAACATCCAAGTGTCATTTGCACTAATTCTCAATATACAGTTACTTCCATTAAATTGTATACCATGGCCTGAAAGTCTCACTTTTTCATTGTCTGCATGTTTTATCATTTTAATAGCAATTTGCATTTTTATCACACTCACTTCAGATAACTTCATCTATTTCAGATCTTTGAAAAAGCCTTAGATGAGCCCAAATATAGTTCACTTTATGCACAACTATGCCACCGTCTCTGTGAGGACGCTCCAAATTTTGAACACCCTTCCTCCAATACAACAGTAAGTATAAGTGATTTGTACTGATAAACTAGTTTTAAAAATTAATTCTTAGCTTAGAGCTTTAATTTAAATATCAGCAATGCCCCCCCCCCCCCCCCCGTTTGTAGATTTCTTGATGGCATCATCCAGGGATGAGTTTAGCCTAAGGGCAGGCAAAATCTGCATTGGTAGATCCCTTAAAAAACGAGGGCACTGCAGCAATGACCAAGGGTGTTGCAGCATTTTTTCTTTTTTTTTTTTTTTTTTTTTTTTTTTGTTGTTGTTATGGTCATTGTGGCATTTTGCCATGGTGCTGCAGTCTAAGCTCATGTTTGCATCATCCATTGGTATTTGTTCTATTTTACAGCCCCAATGTATTTTGCATCTTTTTTTTTTTTTTTTTTTTCCTCTTTCCTTTTCCTCTTTAATAAATACACTCAAAGGTGCTTCTATTTTTATACAGACCTTTCGACGCCTACTCTTGAACAAGTGCCGGGATGAATTTGAAAACCGTTCCCGTGCCACAGAAGGTAAGCATGAGTGGTTTGTTTTTATTGAATGTAGTTATAATAATGGCTCTTTGTATTATTTAAAATTAAGTTTAAGCTAATGGAATCTGCTTATTGAATTTTATAAGGGCTTAATAAAATTGTTAGTATAGAATTTTCACTTTCTTTTCAAGCTTACGATAAGAAAGATGTCCCCCTTAACGATGATGAAGCTGAACAATACCATCTGGCTAAACAGAAAATGCTGGGCAACATCAAGTTCATTGGTAAGTCATTAAGAGATTCCAAAAAGTTCTTATTTTATATTGTGAAAGTCTCAAGCTATTTTTTCCTGCCTCTTTACACCATTCTATATATATATATATATATATATAATTCATTACTGATATTGTTTTGGTTAAGGGTTGAAAACTTTCAAGCTAACAATTATTATTCCTGAAAAAAGTTTTTTAATAAAGTCTAACTTCCAAATTTGCTTTAAAAATGAAGAAAAATGATTTTGATTCTAGTGTAGTTAAATTCACTGGTTACTGTGTAATATGGAATTGATTGTACAGGAAGTATTCATGCTTTTTTTTTTTTTTTTTTTTCTGTGTAAACGCTACTCTGAAGCTACTTGGCAGTCTGGTTGAGACTGTATGGCTGTTGCATTCTCAGCAACTGTATCATTTAACTAATGAAAGGATTTCAGATGATTCGATGAGCAAAAGCCCACAAGATTTTGTCATTGATGCTTGTCTGGGAATCTTTTGAAAATGATTTACATTCTGCAAGGTCTTTTAATAAACAGAACATCTGAAAAGATTGTCTATAGGCTGCAATCAGAGATAACACGGTTTACAAAAAAAAGATCAGCTCTAAGACAAGCTTGTGAATTGGTGTTTTTTCACTAATTTTGATGTGAACTCAAATTTCCAAACAGTTTTGCTCTATCATGTCTAGTTTTTATTTTGCTTTCACTTATGCTGTTAACTATAATGCAGATAATCATAATACAATGTTTTTCATACAATATTAGAAAAAACATATTACAAAAAAGAAAAAAATTATACAGAACACTAATAGATTTTTTTTTTTTATATATATATATATATATATATATAAATATATATATAAAAATCATGTATGCTCTACATTTGTAATCTTTTTCAATGTTCATCAGTCACTGCTCAAAGTTTTGGAGGGGAAATGTTGAGGTGTGAGAGGAGAAAGTGAATCTTGAATGACGACATTTAGCATCCCAGATCTTCATAAGACTTTAACAACTTCTTGACACACTCTTGGTAATCTAGTGGCTGTATATTAGAAATGAAGTCATGGCAGACTTAGATGCTTCCCATGCTTTCAGTTCCTTTTAGGATGAAAATCTCAAATTCCTTGTCTTTCAGTAGCACATGGATCTGAGGTCTTACAAAGATGCCCTCCTTGAGCTTAGTTGAACCAAGGGCTGGGAACAGTGCACAACTGTTTGGAAGGCTGTGCTATTCTTGTCCATGGTCTTCATGTAATTCTTTATTATACCAAGCTTGATATGAGGAAGGGTGGGGTGGGGGGATTCATGTTCACCAGAAGATCTTCTTTGACACTTTCCCCCCATGTATGAAAGTTGTACTTTTAGGCTTTCAGTTCTTCCGCTTATAGTACTTGGACATTAGCTTGACTGTCAGACAGAAAGCAACAGTACTTCGTGAAAGCAAGACCTCTGATCAGGACATTTTGAGGAACGTGGAACAACCTCTTAATTGCTGGTGTTCCTGGCTCCACCCCTGACCCGGGGTAGTAGCACCTGTTAGGATCCCAGCAATGGGCAAATAGTTAGTCAAAACACTATGAAAGCATAAAAATAGGTTTTAATACCAGAAATACTTTGTAAAAAATTATTACCAGCGATACATTTTGAAGAAAAAATATTACCAGCTATGCCGTGAAACAAACCAAACTTCCTGAAACCTGCCAACATACCCATAAAAAGTCCAGTGGCCCCTACAGACACTTCACTGGTACTTGTACTTGACAGTGTATAAAAGTAATCCTATATTGTCATATGACTCCTTCAGATAAACTAAATGTGCAAGAGGAATGCTTGGGTATTTATTCCCATTGTGCAGGATCACAGACTTTGGTGACTTTTCATAAACTCTTCCAAGCAATCTGAGGGGTTGCCTGGGAAACCAAGAGAGGTGAACAAACCAGACATTTTTGCAGTAGCACATCCTATTTACTATGTTGAAGAATGAGGCAAACTCTTTGTTCTGTGTCCTGAAACTATTGATCCAGGTTCTTCTGCTTCAATTAGGGTGCCAGGTGCTGATTGCTGCTTAGATAAGTACAAGTCATTCTGCTTTTCCTGGATGATCCAATCGGGGGGTTCACTGCCACTTGCTCCTGAATAAACACATTGTCATCAGAAACAGGACTTGTAATTCTTATTTGTTGAGATACTAGACAGGGAGATATGAGTGGGAAACAGATCTCATAGCTGAAGGGAGGTTGGGATACTGTAAACTTTGTAACCAGTTATTTGTTAGACAAAAATAACAATTATCTGCATGGCTTTGTGGTTCCCTCCAAATCATTGTGACATCAAAGTTGAAGGCTACCTTCTTGCCATTAAACCATGCAATTAGTCCATTGTAACAGGGTTTACAACAGATGTGAGGGCCTATGGTTTGTCCTGATCTCCAATTTTATAGTCAAAATAGTGAAAGTAAAAAGTTCTCATGAAGGAAGTAATTGTTCAGCAATTTGCAAGTGTCATGAAATCTCCATATGTAACAGAATGAATCAACCTTGATGTATTGCAGTGACTCGACACCATTGTAGAGCTATGTAACAGCTCAAAAAAAATAATAAAAAAATAAGACACTGACATATACTTACACGAGTTGTTATAATCATAATATAAACTTGTATGCAGCATATAAAATGATTATATATAGGTATAGGTCTGAGAATAGAATGTTTAATTTCTTTAAAAAAACTAATTTTTAGCATGTTATTAGTCTGTGGAAGTATTGAATTTAGCATCCATAAATTGGTCTTAGACACCTATTTTCATAGTTTATTTTTGAAACCCCTAAATCTTTTGGGTCTATGGCTATACAATAATATACATGTCTGTATATCTGAAAATCAGCACCCACAAAATTAGGTTAGAACACCAATTTTTATGCTTATCTCAATTATTTGTAAACCACTGCAATCAGTGATTAACAGTGCAAGAATTAAATCTGGGGATGCCACATACTGTCCAGAAATTACTCGGCCACTCTGGATATCATTACTGTCCGTTCTTCATTTTTTACAAACCTAGGTTTGGATTTGGCTCCTTGTTTGTGGCTTTTCCAGACAGAAGAATTTGAAAAGTGGGTTCCCATGGGAGAGTACTTTGAAGGATGCTAATGTGCATTATTTTCTCCTAATAATATTAAATGGAAATGGTAGTCTGGTTTTCTGAGGAGACTTTGCATAATCCTTAAGTGTCATTGAAACATAACCAAAATAAACTTAGAATCCAAGTTCACAAGGGGTTAGGAATTTAGCTTCATAGTGAATTTACCTTCTGATTCTAACAATTACCAAGATGTCTTCTGTCTTCCTGTTCCTTTATTCTACTTTTCTTCACTTCTCCTTGCTAAAGTCTTCTCATTCTGCTTCACTCTCTGTAAACCATGTGTCTTAGTGGCATTATAGCCTTGCTTGAAGTGAAATTTTTTTTCATTGCATAATTCAGTTTTAAATTATTAATCTGATCAACCAATTTTGTGTATAACATTTTTCTCTGATTGCTTACATACAAACTTTTTCGTATTTTGCTCAGATGTTTAACATTTCAGCTTGCTCTTTTCTCCTTTTTGTAAGTTTAATATGAGATGGACAGTCCTGGGTATGATGATAAACTTCATCTGGCAGCCTTGGTGCCGGATATAGTTTATCATGCAGATCTGGAGATTTTGAGGAGCAGGAACCACCTCTTAATTGCTGCTCTTCCCAGTTCCACCTTGACTCAGGGTGGTAGTTATAGGCAAATAGAGAACTCCCAAACAAAACATTATGAAAGTATAGAAATACATTGATAGTAAAATTACCAACAATATGTCCTTGAGGGCATACAATTGCGTTCAAATTTAGATTTTTATTTAATAACCCATAGAGGTTGATATGCCACTAAACAAATTCAACTAAATCAAGTATGAGGTGGAGGGGGAGAGTTGATGTTTTGGCTTGACCCCCGCCCCTTGTCCAAATCGAGATATCAATGATCAAACATCAGAATACAGATTTTTAGAAAAAAGGTCGGCCTGAAAATGTGTTTAGCAACCAAAAAATTGAAATGTGAGACTCAACTTAAAAACTTTTAAATGCTAAAATTGTGATTTAATATATATTAGGTGAGCTTGGCAAGTTGGAGATGCTGCACGAAGGCATTCTGCACAAATGCATTAAGCAGCTTCTGGAAAAGAAGAAGAATGTTCCCGTTAAGGACATGGCAGAGGACTTGGAGTGTCTGTGCCAGATAATCCGCACTGTAGGCCGACGCCTTGATACTCCCAAGGCTAAGGTGAGTTTAAGCTATAGTTTCTGTTCAGACTTGCATATCTTCATTTGCATTAATATTCTATTTATTTTAACAAATTTTAAAATTTATTATAAAGGCCTGGATGGATCAGTACTTTGAGCGAATCAAGAACTTCGCTGCTAACCCAGACTTGCCCTCAAGAATTCGCTTCATGCTGCAGGATGTGGTGGAACTGCGGGCTAACAAAGTAAGTAATGTTTTCATATTAGGATTTTTGACTTGCTAAATGCGATATGATCATGTGAAATCCTTTTAATACTGTTGTTAGATTTCCATTAAATAGTTGTATCTATGCTACATTTGTGTCCTCCATTACATAAATACATTTGATAAGGTGTAACTTGAAATCCTATTTGAACTGCTAGAGAAACTCTACTTATTTGGCAAAGACATGAGGATAATCTGCAACGTTTCCTGATAAACTTTCTGCATGTAGATGGGGAAACAAGTTAAACAAATGCGCAAAAATAGAAAGGTAGTATGACAAGGAAGAGTTCTCACTCGATTTATTTAATCTATATAGCAACGTTATCCAAAGAACTACATGACATCTTATCAGCAGCCGTAATCTTAACCACATAAGATATGTGGATGACACTGAACTGCAAGAACTTCTAGACAAAGGAAAGCAAAGAGAAAAAAAAAAAACTGTAAGAAGACAAGGTATAATCATCAGAGACAGCCAAGAAAATTTTATTATAATCATTTCACTCCAAGCAGGGCAATAGAGCTACTAAGATATAAAGAGTGAAAGTATATGAGAAAAAAAACTTTGAGAGAATATTTTTTTGAATATCAACTTTACTGGAAAGCCAGAAGAGTTCCACTGGCAAGGAGTGTGAGAGAAGAAACTGTTAGCATAGATCTTGCATTTACATCTCATTTCAACTGTAAAATGAGACCTAGCTGCCAATCTAGTACTATGCTTAAATTCATAAGGTCAAGGCACCAAAAATGAAGGCTCATCAAAACAGTTATCTTCCCTGTACCTCTTCTATCAATATTTTCAAGGCATGTGGTGGGGAAAATGACTGAAGACACTATGCCAGATCAGGGCTGATAACATTGCAGATTCTTTGGATTTTATCAAGAATCTCTAAATGAATAGTATAAGCATCAGTTCAAATGTCATTGTGATATTTATTGCATGGATGAATGGTAAACTTAAATGTATAAGGTAGATTCTGGCAAGAAAAATGGTTTAGCACGACACAGTGAATCAAGCTTCTTAGCAGCAGACCTAGCAATTGATTCAATGTAATCTTTCCACTTACTGTCGGCAGAAAACATTAGTCCAACAAGGCATAATAAATCACTCTTAGGGGTTAGCATCAGCCATTTTGATGGAAGGTCGTAAAGGCTCTCTAAGACTATTAAGAGTTGTTTTGCTTTAGAGGTGTTGAAATTAACAAGCCATTTCTTACTTCGGTTAACAAGATTGTAGGTTGTTTTTGAGATCAACTGACTACATTATTTACATTATTGTCCTCATCTTTGTCGCCATGTTTATTACAATGTTTCGGCCGTTGTACGCTCTGGCCTTCTTCAGGTGGTTGGAATGTCAAACTGAACCCTTTATTTTGATCACTGGGGTAGTGCCATGTTAATGGATGTTGGTTATCAGTTATCTCCTGTTAATTTCCCTCTGAAAGTTCTCCACTGCCATAACCAGATATTGAACTCACACTTGAGTCCTATCACTGGATCTAACCAACGCCTTTATTGACTGTGCCATTTGTCCTTATCTGTGTATGAATTTCTGGGTATTATAAACCTAATGTCTTGGCAACCATTTTTACCAGAGCTCATATTGCAACTTTTGTTGTTTTTGCTTTTCTCTGGCACTCCTTATTACTGGTTCCCATATTGTGTTTGTTTCTATGCTTTTTCGGCTCTGGAAATTTTTGTGGCCTAGCATATGTGCTGATTCTTTAAATTTACAAATTTTCCAATGGTGATCTTTGTCTATGATCTCAACCTGATCCCACAGAGCGTGGTGATCTCTCTTCTCTCTCCATATGTGGTCAGCCACACCTGATTTTTCCACTTCCCCTTGTGTTACAGCTTTCTGGTGTTCTTGAAGCCTTACCTTAAGGGGGCGGCCTGTCTCCCCTTTATATTTCTTTCTGCAGCTGCACGGGATAGCGTACACACAGTCTTTAGTCATGTCCTTCTCTCTTGCGGGGGGGGTGTCTTACTTGGGAGAGATATCTGCAAAGTGTCGTTAAGCTTTTGAAGGTTGTCCTGATGTTATATGGACTGCAGATCCCTTGTATTTTCTCAACCCCTTAACATAAGGCAGACTGTTTTCTGAGTGTTGTTGTCCTTCAACCTTCAAAAGCTTGACAACACTTCACAGATATCTCTCCCGAGTAAGACACCCGATAGAGGAGAACATGACTAAAGACTGCGTGTACATTATCTTGTGCAGCTGTGGAAAGAAATATAATGGGGAAACAGGCTGCTCCCTTAAGGTAAGGCTTCAAGAATACCAGAAAGCTGTAACATGAGGGATAGTGGAAAAATCAGACGTGGCTGACCACATATGGAGATAGAGAAGTGGGATCAGGTTGAGATCATAGACAAGGAACACCAATGGAAAATTCGTAAACATAAGGAATCGGTACATATATGCCGACCAAGCATAGAAATCAATACAATATGAGAATCAGTAATAAGGAGTGCTAGAGAAAAGTGATAACAACAAAAATTGCAATATGAACACTGGTATAAATGGTTGCCAAGACATTAGGTTTATAATAACCAGAAATTCATACAGATAAAGACAAATGGCACAGTGAATAAAGGCGTTGGTTAGATCCAGTGACAGAACCAAAGTGTGAGTTCAATACCTGATTAAGGCAGTGGAGAACTTTCAGAGGGAAATTAATAGGAGATAACTGATAACTGACATCCATTAACATGGCACGTGGAACTAGAACGGTCTACCCCAGTGATCGAAATAAAGGGTTCAGTTTGACATTCCAACCACCTGAAGAAGGCCAGAGTGTACAACGGCCGAAATGTTGTAATAAATATGGCGGCAATAGTCCGAATTATGTAAATAATGTACATAATACCTCATCTCGGAAATATAGACACATCAACTGACTATTTGACCATATCGAACCAATCAGACTTACCATTAAGAGTATATAGTTATGTCAACAACATAGATACACAGTTGAGAATTGGTGACCTCAGGAAGGTCATTGATGAAAATTAAGAACAATATATTTCCAAGAATAGAGCCTTGGAGGATACCTGCATTAATGAAAAATAGAATGCAGAAGAGTGGCCGTTCAAGACAACTTTCATTTTGGGATTTGATAATAAAGATTGAATCAGATATAAAAATTAATCCAGAAATATGATAACCTTTCAACATGTGAAGACCAGCACACCAAACCCTGAGATATCTAAAGTAACGGTTTGATGCCATTTCTTATCTAAGCTTGATAGACTCTTTCAGCAAAAACTGTTAATACATCCATCAGCAGTTGACCTAGAGAAGCAAAAGCCATATTTGTTGTGTGGCAGAAGACCCAGTGAGGTGAGATGCTTAAGCAGTTCAGAATTGATTAGTCTCTAGTACTTTGCCAAAAAAAGAGGTAGCAAGCTAATAAAGGATCGGACTGTTCACACAACTTCTTAAAGACTGGAACTACAGAAGATTTGCAAAAAGCAGCAAGGTGTTTATTCTAAAGTTTAGAGAGGACAGGATCCAGTTTGGAGATGATAGCAGAAACCATGGACAGAGTTGATGTGCATATCACACGAGTTCTAAGTGGAAAGTTGGACAAAGATACACCAGCTGAGTCAAAATTAGAATTGGAAGAGAAACGAGCAAAAAAAATTCTGCATTATCAGAAGATAACACCTGAAATTGACTGAAGAGATTAGGGATAAAAGACTTGCTCTTATTTAAGACACTATTACAGAGCTGCCAATAGTCATGAGAAACAAACTTGTTAGAGGTTATGCAGTGCTTTGTTTTGTCATCAAAGACTTAGGCTCTTTGAGGATGCATTTATAATTATTAAGAGCTGACACAGTGGCATCTGTTGTGATAGTTCCTATCACACTGGTATGTCTGTTAAGTGATTACTATGAGCTGTAGCAAATGAACAGGCAGGTGTGAATGAAGGAAAAAGTGATAACACCTCAAACTGAGATGGGAGATAGAAGGCTTAACTCTTACTCAATGCACTATTACAGAGCTGCCAGTAGTCACAAGCTTGAAATTTAACTATCTGGCTAGTGTAGTAACATAGGATGGAAACCTGATGCAGAAATTCAAAGGTACTTCACAATAGTGAAAGGTGCTTTCCAGAAACTAAGCAAAGCAGTAAGAAATAGAAAAGTTTTGTTTACAATTCAGCACTTTTGCTTGTCATATGGCAATGAATTTTGAACAATTTCCGTACAGCGTCTTGGGTATGACTATAAACTACGTCCAACAGCAGGGCCTCTGATCACAAGGCTTTGAGGAGTGTGGAACCATCTATTAATTGCTGGCGTTCCCAGATCCACCCTGACCCAGGGTGATAGCACCTGTTAGGGTCCCAGCTATGGGCAAATAGTTAACCCCAAAATAGGTAAAAGCATTATGAAAGTGTAAAAACAGGTTTTAATACCAGAAATACTTTGTAAAAAAAAATTATCAGAAATAGATTTTTGACAAAACAAAAATATTACCAGAAAAAAAATAAAGTTATCGGCATTAAATGACTCATTGAGGTTGATATGCCGTAAAACAAACCAAACCAATTTCCATACAGCTGAAAAGGCTTGATCTAACAACTGTTATCCTACTAATGAATGCTGAGAATATCATGGACTAAACATGTGGACAATGAGGTAGTTATAAAGACAATAGGACTCAAAAGACACTTGTGCATATTGAGGAATGAAGGCTTGGAAATTTTAACTTTCACAGGACATTGAAAGGAGGAGAAGCAGCAGGAAACATTGAGTAATCTGCATATGTTCATATGACTGGATGACAGTGGTTATGAAGAGTGAAATGTTATTTAGATCTATAATAGGTAGGAAGTTGTGAAGAGCTTTGATCACTCACGCCCTTTATAATAGTAAAAACGAGTAAATAATTGGTTTCTTTTGTCTGTAAATTTTTCCATTCCCTATCTCACTGACTTTCTGTCTTTCTCTTGTTTTTCCAACCAGTGGGTACCAAGGAAGGTGCTTAGTGATCATGGACCAAAGACTATATCCCAGATAAGACAAGAAGCAGCTGATGTAAGTCTACATTTTCTCTTAACCATTTCTTCAGTGTATAAATATCTTTCATTCCTCCACCTTCTGGGTTTTTTTATTTGTCTGAGTATATTGGCCAGGATTAATGGAGAATGGTTTCACTTGAGAGCACTTGACATTTTGACTATCTGAAACAAATGTTTCTTTATCTACCAGAATGTGTTTTGATACTGGCTTTTATTTTTAATCCAGGAATTTGGAGTGTACATTGCTCCTCCAGATACGTCTGGACGAGGAGCTGGTGGAGCTGGAACTGGAAATATGTTTGGATCACGCCTGTTGAATGGTAACATGGTACCGGGCCAGAGAGGAGGTTTAGGAGACATTTTCAGTGCCTCACCAACTGGACTTCCCAGTAAGTATTGAACATTTTCTTCCTCTCAAGTGTGTGTGTTTTTATATATATATATATATATATATATATATATATATATATATATATATATATATATATATATATAGTATATTTAGGCAGCAATCCTTCTTTTTGCATGTTTCATTAAAAACGACAGACAAGGTACTATGGATTTGAGCTTTTTCATTTAATTTTTTCTTGTGTTCTGAGGATGATATAGCTTTCTTTTTCTGGACAAATATAAAAGATTTGTCCGAATGTTTTATACACAATTTTGTCCAGAAAAGAAAGCTCTTGTCTGAACACAAGAAAATTAAATAAAAAGCTCAACCGTAAAATTTTGTCTGTCGCTTTTAATGAAACATGCATAAAAGAAGGATTGCCTAAATATATAATATATATATATATATATATATATATATATATATACACACACACACACAAAGAATTACTTAACTGTAATTGTTCATATCAGTCCTTATGTACCCGACTCACATATTAGTATTTAAGTTGCAAAGTAAAAATTTATTAAAATGTTTGCATTTACCCATTAATTCATTTCTCTTGTTTAATAATTTAATTTGATTATTGAAATTATTACTTTTTTTTTTTTTTCTTCTTCTAAATACAGCTATGGTGGTCAAATAATGTTGAAAATACCGATTTCTCATTTTCTTAAATTGAATAGTGTCAAACCCTGTCAGTACTTAGATGGGGGAATGCATGGGAATAATGGGTACTGTAATCGGCCTCTTACAATCTGAAGTGAATTGTCTTTAAATAACCTGCAAATGGTTGACAAAACAAACTAATCAATCAAGTTTTGTTTCCACCTTCCTTTTGGTATAAAATTATCGGGTTTTTTTTTTTTTCTTTCTCCATGTATTATAGACAGCATTGGTACTGGACCAGGAGTCATTCAACTGGATAGTTTTGTTCCTGGCTATTCCTTGAATATGGGCAGACGGGGTAGTCAACCCAACCCAGGTGAGTGAATTCTTGATGACTTGCTGTTGAATATATAATATATATATATATATATATATATAGCTTACATAGTGTCAAAACTTGAACTTAAGTTTTTAGGATTCCTGTTGCCAGATGGTTTTGGTGAAGTGTTTCTTTTACTTGAGCTTTTTAGAGGTTTAAATTTAAAGATTAATGATCTCCATTTAAATTTCCAATTCCTTTAAGTTGTCAATTTTGTATCCCCTTTTATACAATCATTTGTTTTTGCTTAGAAAAACTGTTTCATCTAATCATGAACTTTTTATTACACTCTTCTCTTCAATTTAAAGATGAAGTATTTTGCACAAATTTGAAAGATAGCACTTCTTTTTTCTTTTTGGTGGGGACTATGAAATGTTTAAAGTTGCTTTTCCCTGCACTACACTGTGATTTATTTTAATGGTCACCACAGCAATTCAGACAAATTTAATTATATTTTTTCATTTGTAGTAACAGAAAAAGTTAATTCTTGTGTGCCTTTTGACTTTTAGGAAGCTACCAAAATCAGTACAGCAACCGCCGTTTGCAACAGGATGGTAGTGTAGGAGGCCCTGGTGGCAATGTCAGTAGTGGTGTGGGTGGGAGTGGCAGCAGCCCCAGATCATCTCGTCGTGGTAACAGCCAGCAGTCCCTGCAGCAGAATCAATCACAATCCCAACAGATCTACCAGTTACAACAGAACCACCAGTCAACACAGATGTCAAATATACAGCAATCATTGCTTTCACAGCCGTCACAATTGTCCCAGGCTCAAAGGGTACAAGGTTAGTTGCATTGTAGTTTGTTTGTGGTTTTTTTTTTTTTTTTTTTTTTTTTTTGTTTAAATACTATTTAATTAAACTATAATTATTAAACACATACATTTAAAGCAACTTGGGTTTTTCAGGGAATTTATTAGTTTATTAGGATAGAAATGATCTGATTTCATTGAGTCAAGGTAGCATGTTACAGTAAGTTATTACTATTATTGTAGCTAATGTTGACTTCTTAAATGTCTTGGTAACCTGAATCTTGATGGATTGTAATGTGGGTGAGAGGAAGGAGAGAAATTGCTTTCAATCTAACAGTTTAATATTTATATTTAGGGACTGGAGGTAGCAGAGATTTGCCTCCGCGGTTTGTCCGAATGACCATTCAGCCGCCAACAGGACCAGAAAAGACAAATTCCAACTCTGAAGAGATCAGTCTTCGACCTTCCAAGAACTTCAATGTATTCCGCCCGACAGTGCCAAACATGCTTCCAAAATCTGCTCGTGGTGGCCCGCCATCAAGTGGAAGTCAGCAGACTGTATTCCAGTCTCCTATTTTGGACATTGGATCGGGCACTGCTCCTCACTTACTTACAAAACAGGTTAGTATCACCTATCGTTGTGTGTGTGATAAATATGTAATTCTTTTTTTTTTTTTTTTTTTTTCTATTTAATATTTAGGCCATAACCTTGGCTTTCTTGTAAAATCAAAATATAATTGATAATTTTTTGAATTAGCCTTTTATAAGTTCCAAGTACCTGTTTATTACACTTGTATGCAAATCATTAGTGTTATTTTCCTTTTTAACTTTGATTGTAGCCCCAAATTACAATTAAGCAAGCTAACCCTGATAAAGCCAAGACTGTCAAAAAAGCTCCACCCACAAAGAAGGAGCTTGAAAACAGCATGGTAAGAAAACATTTTTTTTTTTTTTTTTTTTTTTTTTTTTTTTTTTTTTTTTTTTTTTTTTTTGTTGCTCTTTAAATATGGATTATCCATCTGGATTTTATAGGGAGAAAAATTATTAGCTACCATATTCTTGCTAAAAATTGCCAAATAATTTCATGGTGAATGTTCATCATCAGTCCCTCCACTGCTTCAATCATCAGTGAGGCCTGAGGGCAGGATAAACAGACCATTACTACCAATATGATCTGTTGGCAGTGGCTCTCAGGAGTTTTGGCATTGTCATGCCTGTCCACTCTTTGATACTATCTGACCAGCTCTTGCATTGCTGTCCCTGACTGTGTCAACCTTCATTAGTACCTTGCAATATCCTCCTCCTTCCCATTGAAGTCACCTTTTTGCTGTGAGTGGTGACCCGTAATGTCTAGGGAAGGGATCCTGATATGCTGCTAAACAAAATCGACCAACCAACCTACATGAGAGAATTCTTTCATGACATTAATTCATATATTATACTACAATTTCTTCAAGAAATCAAACTGTATTCCAAAATATAACTTCAACAAAGCTACAACATAAAACACACATTATGTTCACAGAAACATGCATATGCACAAAAGCTGAGTATCATCCACCATGTATTCAATTGTGAAAGTAGAATAACGTATAATGTTTATTGCTTCAAAGTACCCCCCCCATTTCAAATTGAATTATTATCCATAAGGAGTTGATATACCATTAAACATACAAATCAAGGCAATCTCCAAACACTTAGAATCTAGAATTATTTTCTGGTTTGAAATAACCAGCAGAAGGTTGATATGGCATATAAAACAAATCACTCCACTACAGTTGAAGATTTGTACCACTGTGCTCCATTAGACTCAAAAACCTGCCTGTTCTTCTAACACTAGTTCCTCAGCCTTGGATTTCAGACAGTTGAGGATAATATGGTGCATGAACATGCTGTAGTAGCTGAACATGCTTATTATTCTATAATTCTGGCATTTCCTGGGTCCACTCTCTTGGCCATATCTGTTCCTGAATCTGTTGATGTAGAGCTGTTAGAGCCTTGACAGTTTCTTCACCTATTTTCCACCACTTTTACCTCTGTATTGCTATTTTCTCCTTCAGTATTGGAAGATTATCTTTGCCTTCTGTGGGAGTACTGTTGGCTTGCAGTATCTGGATGTAGCTCGTAATTGTACAGGTCACTGCAGTAGTTTCGCTTTGTCTGTTGATAGCTTGTCCTCTATGGCAGCTGCTCTTGGATGGCTGATCTTGGTGACAGATTTGAGTTTATTGTAGAGCTTGTGGTCAACTGATTTTATGCCCTTCTCACTACTCCTCTATCCACTCCTCTTTGGCTGTTTGTAACTTCTTCCTGTCCCTCTCTCTGCATGTTTTGATATTGCGTCAAGTTTCATCACTTGTGCTTCTTTCTTTTCACACAAATCCAGTACTTCATGACCCAAGGCTGAATTTTCTTCAGCGTTTTTCCCAAAACCTCTTCAGCTGATGTGAGTAGGATGTCTTTGATGTCGAATGTGATAGTGTCTACCTTGTTGGCAATCAGGTTATGGGCTGAAAACTTGCTGACTTGGGCCTGAAAAACTTTTGCAACTTCAGGATCTTTCAACTTCTGATGGTCAAAGTGGATGTGGTGGCTCTTAGAGCAATGCTTAGTTTCCAGCTTCAGCTTGAAGGGTGTCATCACAAGGTCATGATTGCTGCCAATGTCTGTTCCAAGGGATGTCCTTATTTTCGCCTTGCTGATGCTGGACTTGAAGCATTGCAGAATCAGAATGAAGTCATTCTGATTGTGGACTTGACAGGCGAATTCCAGGTTGTGGTTTGCAACAGCTTGTGTGACTGAAGATGAGATGGTGACTTCTGACAAACTCAAGCAGTCTGAGGCTCCTGTTGTTGGTCTCCCTGATGCTAAATCTTCTGCCTGTTCTTGCCCAGTACTCGTATGCACCTGATGCACAATGTTTTTATTGGACTTCCACTATGGCAGATTCTATATGTAAAACTTTTGACTTCATCATCGGAGTCTGGAGTTGGAGCATAAAACTGGATGATGGTCATGTTGTGCAGTTTGGCAGGATACATAGATGGAGATGATTCTGCTTAAGATAGGAGTGCAACTGATGACTGCATGCAATCTTTCCTGACAAGGAATACCATCCCATACTTGTGTTTCTTCTCTCCAGAGAACCAGATCTTGTGTCAATCCACTGTTATTTCATCAAAGCCAGTCCATTTGACTTTGGACAACCCAATGATGTCCCAGCGATAACATCTAATTTTGTGAGTTCTTGAATTCTGCCACAGGCATAGTGTCCAAATGTTCCATGTTCCAATGGTTGTATCTTGCATTGGTAGCTTGTTGTTTTTTTTTTTTTTTTGTTTTTTTTTGTTGCTTCACTCATGCTCGTCCTGGAATCAGGCAATGGAATGTGCAGCTGTTGTTGGTCAAGGCCATGACCAATCTGGCACAGTTTTGCTTTGAGTCTTCCTCCTCATGATCCTTTCAGTGGGCTTTCAGATAGCTTGGCACCCATCTCCACTCCAAACTCTTGACTGACATAATTAGACTACAGAATATGTTACTTTCCCTTTGTCTGTACACTAGGTCGTTGAACCCATCTGAAGAGCCCTCCGCCCTGTCTATTTGCTGTCTCTGCAGCTCTTCCACCCAGTAGTGTAGCCCCTCATATGTTTTAGTCTGTCTGCTGAAGTGGTTGCCTGGAGTATGCTGCATGGAACCAGCATATGAAATACATAATAACCCAATATAAAACAGAACTAAATAAACTAGATAATAATTATTCACTAATAAATAATAATCACAATTATTATTATTATAATATTGTTTAGCAGTATAAAAATTTCATAAATTAAGTTAAAATACAACAAAAAAAGTTACATTAAAGCTTAGAAAGTATGTTAGAAATAAGGTGTTAGAATTAAGAACACATTTCTTCTAAAAATGAAAATTTTGTCTTTAATTTCTATCTAAGAAAAACGAAAAAACAAACAAATTAGAAAGTAAATAACCATTCACTTGTGTTAAATTTAAATTCAGTTTGGCTGATATGATTATAATAAAATGAATTGATAAGTAAATATTTGCATTTACATTCATGTCAACTTTTACATTAATTAAACAATGATGAGAATATTAAATAGATAAAAAATATTTGAAATATCCAACTATATACATAAATAATATATTATAAATATGAGAACACCTCCAAAATGAATCTGCTCTCATTTAACCACCATAGCGAAATTTCCCTTCCCCCTATCAGCATGGTTGATGCTCAACTTCAAGAGCATCTCACTGTGCCTTCTTGGCCTCACATTTTCCACTGGAACAACTACATTGAATCAATAGCTGCATCTACCACAAGTTGGTTCTCTGTGTTATGCAAAAAGGTTTTTCTCATCAGAGTCCATCCTACAAATCTACTATTCATCCCTGTATTGAATACTGTTGCCATATATGGTCTAGTGCTCTTGCTGTTCATCTTGAAGTCCTCAACAAAATCCAAAGAAGGATCTGCAATGTAGTATGTTTTGACATGGCATCTTGACTTCAGTCACTTTCTCACAGACGTGATGTGGCTTCCCTCTGTTGTGTCTATAAATATTTTCATGGCAACTGATCTGACAAGCTATTTTCACTGGTGTCCTGATTGCATGAATTTAAGTGTGCTACTAGGTTGGCATCTAGGCCCCACCCTTTTACTGTTGAAACAATTAAATGTAACCACCACTTCTACTCCAACAGCTTTATCACTCACACTTCCCAACAATGGAACACCCTTCCTCTTACCTGCTTCCCTGATGACAACAATCTTCAAAAATTTAGATGCAGTGTCAATCAACATCTTCTGATACCTTGATCTCCGTTCTTCTTTTTTTTTTTTTATCCTTTCCTCATTGCCCACTATACCCAGTGTTTTCTTTCATTCTCTGTAAACTCCCTATGTACTAGTGGCTCTCCACCTTGCTTGTGAAATTATTTTTAAAAAAAAAAAAATTTTTTTTTTTTTTTTTTTCTTCAAAAGGCAGTTGGCATTCTTTAATTCAAATGTTACAAGGTAATAAATGTAAAATCAGTTTAGAAACAATTATTTTTTTTTCCTTGCAGACTGCCTTGCTGGATGATTACTTCAACAGTGGTGATGTTCCGACTGCAGTCAATGCATTCAGGGATTTGAATGCTCCTAACAAGTAAGTTACTTATTCTTCGTTTACTACTTTTTAACTAAATGTATCTACCTGATTTCATGTTCATTTTCCTCATATACATGCATCCTTTTATTTTTCAGATATGTTGCTGATGTGATTTACAAAATGATGATCAATAACATCGACAAAACAGGTAGGTTTGAACTTTGATCTTTAAGACAACCTACAATCTTTTACCTTTCTTTAAATTCAAAGTGATTATTTGTCTACAAGTTTTTAAAGATGGCAATCTTAATTATAAATGTTAGTGTGCCAAATTGACTTTATTAGTTAATATTGATTGAGCAAATTTAAACAATTTACACAAACTACTATTAAATTTAAAAAAACCAAAAACCTGTCTATAATTCAATTAAAGCTATATTAAATTGAACTGAGTAGTCTTTGTATGAATTATTAAATATGAAATTCTTTTTCTAGATTCTGACAGGGAAAAGGTCATGAATCTCTTGTGTGCTATGAAACCAGAAAATTTATTGACATCAGAAAATTTCATGGATGTAAGTACCTACAATACCTAATTTGTATTTTTAAGTAAATGCTTGTTAAACCTGTCTTTTGATGTTAGCTAAATTTTTCAAGAGAAAAATAGTTATATTTGAATGTTTGCTTTTATTTTACAAAGAGTTTTAGAAATTATGCATTTGAAATCCAAACTGAAAGTTTCAAAGATAACTTGTGTGTGTGGGAGGATCTTAAACATTTTGTGATAAAAGTAATTCTAGATGTCTTGTATAATGTTTTTTTATTAAAGCTATTCCTTCCTTCCTTTTCAGTTATTTTTCTAATAAAATTTATTTTTTCATCACTCTCTCTCCTGTAGGCATACCGTCGCTTGCTTGACAAATTACCTGAGCTGGAGACGGACATTCCATTAGTGAAGTCATATGCAGCCAGCTATGCAGCCCAGGCCATTGCAGGAAATGTTATTTGCCTGGCAGATTTGGCTGAGGCTCTTGAGCGAGGTGCTCATTATCCTCTGTTTCTCATCTGTCTGCAACAGATGCACAAACAGAAAGATAAAGAATGGCTGGTCAATATTTTTAATGATAGTAAGATAAACTTACAGGATATGTTGCCTGGTAAGAATTTTACTTTTTGTTTTGTAAATTGGTATATTTTGCAAAATAGTTTTGTCTGTATAATTTTATAATCCTTCCTGCCAAAGATTTTCTGCTTCTATTGTAATGTCTCTACTTGACAACATCTGTCAAGTAATTGTATGGGAAGTTTTTTTTATATTTATTTATATATATATATATATATATATATATATAATCATCATATCCTCTCAAGTAGATAGGGGGTGGGCTGCTGGATTTAAGGATTTTTATAATTATCATTGATACATTTAAAGAATTGGTTCTTTTGTTAGTGATCACTTAGATAATATTTGTAAAACTGCATGTTATTCCAGATGATGAAATAAAATTGTAATTTTAATTATTTGAATTACAAGCCTACCTGGTAAATATGTTTTATTATCAACGTTTTTTTTTTTTTTTTTTTTTTTGTAAATGAATTACTAAAGCAATATGTGATATTAACCAACTTGGTTGGAATTAAATTCTAAATGGAGGAAATACATTATTCTCTCACCATTACACATTTGATGGCATATCATCCACCCTCCCCCTTACATTAAGCATTACAGTATTATGGCAGGAGTTAGGCTAGATACAAATGCTTGGTGTATGATATTTGGATAAACATGAACTTACTATGTACCTCAACTTTGCTATATTTGGCCAGTGAGTGAGAGTTCAATTTACAAAAATCGAAGCTGTTGTTTTTTTTGTTTTTTTTGTTTTTTTTGTTTTGTTTTTTTGTTTTTTAAATAATACTTCAATTGATAATTTTTTAAATTGTTTTCCTACTCTTCTTTGATCCTTGTCTTTGTGAGGAGTTTCCCTTTTACCAACTTTGTCTTTCAGAAATTGACCAAAGCAAAGAGAAAATGATGGAAATTTTGGAGGATCGAGGGCTCAGCTTCCTGTTTCCTCTTCTCCGTATCCAGTCTGAACTTTGGAAACAGATCCAGTCTGATCCAAGTGCCACGGCCATCTTTAAGTGGATCAAGGATAAAGTCCAGAATGATCTCCACTATAGCCCTGGCTTTGTTAACATTTTGACCACAAGGTACTCTGATTTTTAAAAACACATTAGTTTCTTTTAGCATATCCCTACCCTGCCTTCAATATTTTAACTTTTATTTCTTTTACAACCAATGATGTTGTTATCAATGACTAAATAAAATATGCTTCTTTAATTTTTGCAACAACCTTTTTCTTATGTTGGCTACCATATTAATTACTTTAACTAAAAGAATTATTTGCAGTTTATAAATTAGAAAAGTTTGTTACATAAGCCTTGCTTAGTTAAAAAAAAAAAAATAAATAAAATGGCTTGCTTTTACAGGAAAAAAACTGACCAATATTAGTTTCTCTTTCATAAAATGTTATCTCTCCCTTTTTAAAAAAAAAAAAAAATAATAATAAAAATGCAGCGACTGTTTGTCTGTACAAAAAAAACTATTTTTTCTTTTCTTCTCAGCATTCTGAAATATGTGACTAAATCATCAACATTGTCTGAAAACTGTGACCCTGCTGTCGTACCAGACAAACACTTATCTGAGAAAGAGAGGGAACTGCTGGATAAATTAAAGGTAAATATGTACCCTAATCTACTAAAGTAAATTGAGTAGTTCTCAGTTACTACTACTTATGGCCATACCATGTTGAAACACCAGTACCTTTATGATCACCAAAGTTAAGCAGGGTCAAGGCTGGTCAGTACTTAGATGAGTGACCGCAAAGGAATAATAGATGCTGTAAGCTTGGATGTTCATTACTAAATCATTATCTACAAAGAAAAAATTTCTCGTATCTGAAAATGTTTACTGGCTTTAAATAACCTGCAAAGAGTTGATAAACTATAGAAAATGAATGAATTAATCAGTACTTGTCATGGCAAATAAGGCCACTGCTTTAAGACTATTTTGTTGAAAAATAAGATTGTAAAGGTTCTGCTGCATAATTTTGACTTGTTCAGATTCTGTCTTTCATAACTAGCTTAAATACCATCAAGTGAAATGAGCTTTGTATAGCACGGAAAAATGACCATGATTAGCATGCTGCCTTCATTGAGGTGGAAATAACAGACAAGTATTTGGTACAAGACTTTTTATAGTGGCAAGTGCTTTCCATTGAATTTATAAAGGTATGATTCACCTTAGTTCTAAGTTTGTCCTGACATGACTACAATTCACAACAGTTGGGCATTTTGTTGCAACTTAAAGCTTGTTGTAGTGGTGTTAAGATTGTCCTGACATACAGTACAACAGTTGAGGTTCAGTTGTGGTAGTTTGAAGCTAGTGTTTGTTGTGATTTGCACAAACTTTTAAAGCACTTTATTCTCATTCTTTAACTCTAATGGCAAAAAACATTTTCTGTTCCAGGTTGTTCTGCAACGTTTCCTCCATGACCACATCGGATTGCAAGTCAGTGCACTCTATGCATCACAAGTGTTCTGCTACAATTGCCACTTTCCTAAAAGTAAGTTCAATGCATTGAATTTTAACTGTCAAGATTTCAAACTAATATTCATCATTACAAACATTTCATTTCTTTGTAAGCAGTTGTTTAATATTCTCGTCTTTTTTTTTATTTTTTGACATTTCTATATCATTCTTGCCTTATGATAGCATAGGTTATAGATGTGTGCACACTTTGCATGTGTTCAAAGCAACATTGTAACTAGTGTTTTTCTCAATTCTAAAATAAACAATTAGGATTTTATTTTTAAAAATTGACTTGCAAGTACCTGACTTAGCCAATTTTTTTTTTTTATTTTTCTTAATGGTGTTTTGCAATCATCAAAATGAATTCATATGGCGGAAATTACATTTTTTTTCTGGAAACTCCTCCTTTTGCTTATTTGTGTCGTTAGTATTAGAATTCAAACCTCATAAACCTAGGGGTAGATCCTGACATGAAAATAACTTGAGTTGATGCTACTGTTGCACTTGAATTTAATGTGCACTGAAAGTTTATAATGAAATAAGTTTACATATTTTTGCATGCAAAATACTGACTTGGATAATTCTGTATTTAATTTCAGCATTTTCCTCTCATTCTAAAAGATGATTGATAGAATGGGTATGGATTATGGCCTCATGAAAAGGTCACATAAGTCCTTTGAGTAACTATTCTTAAACATGCGCCAAGCTTTGTTTCATATCTCTGTTTCTCTTACTTCTGGCATTGAAATATTAAAATGAATCATTGAGGCAATCTAGTACCTTAATTGGTTGTTAGGATAACTGATCTTATTTTTTTTCTTCTAATAAGTATAAAATTTTCATTATTTACATACTAATGTACTCCTGTTATTACAATAACATTTCAGTTGTTGTGCTCTCCTGTCCTTCTACTTAAGGAATAACGTGTTTGGTTTTGTAGTAATTGTGAGTTCAATTCCTGTGTCAGGTAGTACAGACTTGGACTTGTTGAAAACAGGACTTGCAATAACTGAGCTGTATAAAATACAAAAAAGGTAGGATATCCCTAGACATGGACTGTGGAACAAGAACAATCTATTGTAGATTAATTAATCAGTTTGAAATTTCATGAAGGTTACCTGGATTAATAGATGCCTGAAGACCAGTGGGTACAATGGTAGAAACATTGATAGTAAGAACAAAGATGGGGATATTAGTCTGACTGTAAATCTTAATTCTTTGTCTCAGAAATTCATACAGAAAGAATATAATTTTGAAGTCTTTCATGAGTTTTTCTCTCTCTCTCTCTCAAGTGTTATAAGTTTATAATATATTGTCCTTTTTACTAATTGACATAAAATTTCAAGTTGTATAGATTGTTCTAAAGTGATCATTTTTACTTTGTTGTGAATCTGATAGTCATTTTTAGAATTTTGATATTTTTTTCTTTTTTACACACACACACACACACACACACCTCTCTCTGCTAAGCTTAAGACTTGTGGTTGGGTTGAACAAACTTGTGGATTTCTTGTTTGCATGTTTCATAATTTTACAATGAAAATTGGTTCATTTCTGGCATTAGCCAAGAAATTAGTCAGCTTTTGAATTATTTGCAATACTAGTGAAAGATATTTCTTTTCATTTAAAGGTGAATTGATTTTAATTTCTAATCTACACAAATTATTTTTGTTTGCAAATTAAAATAAATTGTATTTTAATATTTATTTGTAGACATGCTACGTAGGTTCTTTATGAACTTTTATGATATGGAGATTATTGAAGAAGAAGCTTTCTTAAAATGGAAGGAAGATATTAATGATGAATATCCTGGCAAAGGAAAAGCTCTCTTTCAGGTAACTTCCATTTTCATGTTTGAGTTTTTTACTTTGTGTTTTTAATATTTTTTTTTTTTTACTCTCTCCCTCCTCATTATTCTGTTGTAAATAACCATGTTTTCTTGTTGCAGGTAAATCAATGGTTGACTTGGCTTGAGCAGGCTGAGGAGGAATCTGAAGATGATGATGATGAAGACTGAGCTGTGTGGATGTTTTCTGCTGCCGAATTTTGTTTCTTGTAGCAGATTTTTCTACTTATGCCAGACTATAACTAAAAGGATACAGAAGGAGAGAAAAAAAATGTTTGCTTGCTCTGTCACTCTCATTCTACACATTATATGAGAGAGATAATAAAGTAGTGATTCTATTAACTCATGCAGCTATCTGGATAGTTAAAAGCAGCAACTACCAACATATTCTACATGCATTAAAACATTAGCAATGAAGAAACCTGCCTGTTCCCAGCCAACCAGACAGGATGACATACACACACTCACACACGTACGCACACACACACACACATACACACACTCACATATATGCACTTCTGTCTAGCTGTATGGACTTTGCAGACACTTAAAGAAAAGAAATTCCATATATCTCGACATTATTTCTTTTTTTTTTCTTTTCCTTTTTTCTTCTTTTCCTTTTTTCTTTTCTTTTTTTTTTTTTTATACAAATTGATAAAACTTTTGTTCTGTTCTAATTTATTTATTGCCCTTCCCTTTTCCTTCATTTTCCTCCTCTTTGTCGGTGTGGGCTGTTCTCTGTTATTCTACCCTCTCTTTTTCCTTCCCAACAACTGACTGACCAACCAGGGACTTTTGTTCACTGAATTCTATACCAACATTACAACAATAAAGTTTAATGGAAAAACAAATGCTTTAAAAAAAAAAAATAAAAAAATCGGAAAATTACAAAATAAAAGAATATTTGCCTATGAAACTGGGAGAAAAAAAGGTTTTAAATATACAGTCTCGTCAAGAATGAATATACCAAAAAAATTAAACAAAAAAAACAAAAACAATGGAATTAAGAAAACAAAAAACAAAAATAAAACAAATGCTGGGAACTTAAAAAAAAAAAAAAAAAATTGTCAGTCCATTATTTTTGTTTTCTGTTTGTGTGGTGTTTGTTTATTTTTTATTTTTTTTTCCCCCCTTCCTTTCTTTGGCCCTTATTTCTCTTCTCTTGTGTGCGTGCGTGTGTTGTCTCACAATCTGCTGCTTTACCATTTAATTTGGCTTGTGTGTAAACCCACCTTAGTAACAAACCTCTCAACCACAACCAGCCTTTCCAGCTGTTTTTAAAAAAAAAAAAAAAAAATATAAATAACTGATTAGTTGTTAACATTCGTTGTCTATCCTTCCTCTTCTCACCCATAATTTTTCTCGTTAGATCAGGCCTTTTTTCTAGTGTTATGAGCGTTTGGTTTTGGGGATTCAAGCTGGTGCATTAATATCAATACTATCTACCTCGTTTAGTTACCAGTGGTAGATTGAATTTGGTTCACATTATTGACCCTGCATCTCTTTTTGCATGGATGCATCTTACTGTTTTGCATCTCTTCATTTTATTTGCTTACAACTTTTTTTTAAATGCTAGGTAGTTAGCACATATACATTCACCCATACGGTCTTTTACCAATGAAAAGAAAGGAAAAAATTTTATTCATAGGTATCTATGTATATCTAATCTTATTTTCTTCTTGGGCTTATCTTGATACTTCTTAAGCCTCTGTTGTAACAGGTGCAAAGTTTTCTCAGATCTACATATCTGAATACAAGGTCATCACACTAAAAACTTTTCTTTTTCTTCTTCCTTCCCTAACTACTTTCCCTAACTTAATTTTGATTCCTTTCCAAATTTTACTTTTGATTTACCAGATGCAATACACATCTTGTCTGGTCAGTTTAACATGTTCACCTATGCTGCAGGTCAGTGTTATAACCCCACTCTTTCCTTGGACTTGCAACTGGACTCCAGCCTATCAATTAGGATCTGTATTTTGGGCTAAAAAAAAAAAAAAAAATTCTCAAAGTCTGGTTCCTCCAACCAACTATCATAATTATTATTATTATAATAATAATTATTATTATTATTATTATTATGATAATGTTATTGGAATAAGAGATAATATTGGACCGGATAGTTAAAAGGAGGTGTGATAAAGTAAATAATCTTCCCTTGTTTTGATGGGTATCAAGCAAAAAATACAAATAATAATAGTAATAAAAAAGAGGTCTCCCCTCCTATTCTGTACCACACCCTGTCTTCTAAAAAAGCAGTTAGACAAAAATTCCCCACCCCTCGGTGTAATGTGTGGTTGTCTGGACTTTAGTCACATGACTGATTGTGAAAAAATATTCTTCCTCCTATAAAACCCCTTTCATAAGACTGAAATCAACAAAAAAAAAAAAAAAAAAAATTATGAAAAATTGTAAAATTATTAAAAAGAAACAGAAAAAAAAAACCTCATTACTAAGAAATAAAATCATGACACTGCTCCATTTATCTGTTGGTTTGTGGATTATTTTTATTTGTAGGAAATTGTCTTCCTGTTTTTGTATTTATCTTCTCTCCTGTTTTTAATAAAATGATAGTGTCTTCAGGTGGCTAATGATGTTTGATCAAAATATCTTGGTCATTATGATAAAATCTAACTTGGTCTCTGAAAGTTAAATGCTTTCCTAAACTCTGTTAGAACTTTAATATTTTATTAAAAGTAAAAAATCTAGGTGAACCTGTTACAAAACTTGTTTCTGCTACAAAATTATCACAAATTGTCTTTCAGTGGTAAAACAAACCAGCTTTGTTGGCAGTCCATCTTTCTACTGTTGGTTACTTATAAACCCTTAACTCAGTACATTTTCCCATGATATACCTTTTGATATTGTGAAGAATCCACTTATTACTCTTATTTACTACGTAATCTATTAAAAAAAAAAAAAAAGAAAATCCTGGTACAGCTGTGATAAAATCTTGATTATTTAACCAGAAACTTCAATCATTGCTTTCTGAACTTAATGTTTAACTTCATGTATCTTTTTATTGTCATTGATACAGTTTGTAATGTGTTCTGGAATAACTTGTAGATAAAAATGTATCAAATTTAGTGTTACCATATCAACATATGACATCAAACAAAATTTACACTCCGGGTTTCATACCATGTACACTTGAATAGGTGATTCATTTACCATGCAATTTGTAAATATTGTAAATGACAATTTCTAACTTTGTATGCTTTATAAACTTTTTCAGATATCTTAATTGCAAATAATTTGACAATTATTTTAGCAAAATGATATTAAGATTTAAATAATTCTTAAATTTGTTTTTGTGGGGAAAACTATAAATGTTAAGAATGTGCTTGAGATCATTTCTCTTGTTAAAAACTAAATCCTTTTTAATGCTCCACTTTTTCTTTTTTTTCTTTTTTTTTCCCTCCTTTCCTCCCTTATTTTACTGCTAATTTGAAGTCAAACTACAAAAAAAAAAGCACCTGTAGTGTATCTTTTTATATATATATATATATATATATATATATATATATATATTTAAATGACCATTGTCTACAGTTTTGTTTTTTAAAAAAAAAAAAAAACTCTTTTTAATGCAACTTAAAATGTCAAAGTGTTTTGTTTTACGATGTCAATATTTAAAACTTGGTACTCAATGGAGTTGTCAAAAAGTAGTTATGGCCTCTTTAAGTATTGAATTTTCAATATTTGACTTTTTTTATGACTATGTGGAAAGTTACGAGATATAATCTGTGCTGAATTATAGGGCTTTCAAACTTTAATTATAGAATTATTAAATTCTATAATTAAAGTTTGAAATTGATGTAAATGAAGGTAAGCACCATAAAATGAAATTAATTGACTTTATTATTTTAATGACATCCCCTAATTGGTACTGAAACATGATTTCAATGTTAAATTGAAATGGAATTTAAAATTTTTATATATAAAATGCAAACTCACCCTGCATCTTTTGTCCTTTCACATCTGGTGTTCTATTTCCTACAGAAATTTATCAATTATGAAATGTAAAATGAAAATGCTCTCTTGCCTAAACTTAATTTTAAATTATAATTTAGCTTCTCTTAATAATGCATTATGATTATGCATTTCACAAGGATTTTAAAATGCAATATTTGAATCGATTCCATGTGAAACTGGCGTATTCAAAGCTGGTGAAGTCTTTGTATTTTCCCCATTGTTTTCACGTACACAAAACCTTTAATTGTGGATTAGCTTTGCACAGGTGTGGTACCGTAGCCAATGAGGATAATCCAAGTATGGTTATTCCTAGTTGAAGACAATTACCAATTGTGGACTAACGTTTAGTTTCATGGTTACAACTTGAATTACCTCCCTTAGATTATTGCAGGAAAAGTAAAAATTACCCACAGAAACATTACTTAAGTGTTTATTATTGCTTGTAGCTAAGATTCAAATTATTTTCAAATTATTTAAACAGTATTGTGGATATTTTTCATGCTCACTGCAGTTATAAATGAACTGTTATTTGCCAGTCTCAGTTTTTAACAATAGTCCTGATTTTCCCCCTGTGCTCAGATGCCAGGAATTATGGGATTGGCCTTTTCACAGCTGATAGATTTTGAATATTATGATGGTTGAACTTTAAATAGGCAAAACGAAATGAGAAAAAATTTTTTAAATTCATTGAACTTTGAAATATTGCCCCCACGGTTTTTGGTTAGTTGGAAGGAAATGTAATGTATCCCCCCTGATTTGATATTTTGTGTGACTACTGATAGATTGCTCTTGTTCCTCCTCAGAGTGATGTTAAGTACATGATTACTTGTCTCTATCCTTTTTTCCTTCTCTAACAAATTACATAAAAATAGGTACCTCTACTAATTCGCTGAGAGGAAAAAAAAAACTTGATGAAAACAGTCTTAATGTCAAAATCTTAGTTATTATTAAGATGAAAATTTTTTTTGATCACTTCATTAAATTTTTTGAATCCTTTCTAGAACGGTTGAAATTTTTGTTGATTTGGAAATTCTTGCAAAAATCAAATAATTGTTGGATTTTAATGAAACTTTTTGAACTTATTCACAAATTATTTAAATTTTTTTTTTTATACATGTGAGCCACAATCACACCACCCCAATTATTTAATTTTATTTGTGCTACTTAATTTTTATCTTAGTTAAAAAGCATAACTA